AAAAGAATGGCTCAAGCATGTAGGGACAAAATCAGAAAGGCTAAGATTCAGAATCAGTTACACCTAGCAAGGGACATCAAAGGCAATAAGAAGAGGTTCTATAAATAAATTAGAAGCAAGAGAAGGACAAAGGGAAGTGTAGGCCCACTACTTAGAGAAAGAGAGCTAATAATGGAGAACATCAAGAAGGCTGGGGTGTTTAATGTCTACTTTGCTTCAGTTGTCACTAGAAAGGTAAATTGTGATCGGATATTTAATATAATTAATATTAACAAAAAGGGGGAAGGAACGCATATCAAAAGAGGGAAAGAACAGGTTAAAGAGTATTTAGATAATTTAGATATATTCAAGTTGGCAGGGGCTGATGAAATTCTTCCCAGGGTTTGTAAGGAACTAGCTGAAGCAATCTTGGAGCTGTTAGCAATTATCTTTGAGAGCTCATGGTGGACAGGTGAGGTCCCAGAAGACTGGAGAAGGGCAAACATAGTACCTATCTGTAAAAAGGGGAACAAATTGGACCCAGGGAATTATAGATGAGTCAGCCTAACTTAGATACCTAGAAAGATACTGAAAGAAATTATTGAGTAATCCATCTGTAAGCAGCTAGAGGATCGTAGAATTATAAGTAATAGCCTTCATGGATTTGTCAAGAACAAATCATGCCATCCCAACCTAATTTCCTTCTTTGACAGGGTTACTGGCCTAGAGAATAGGGGAGAAGAAGTATACATGATACATCTTGATTTTTATATGGCTTTTGACACTGTCCCACATGACATTCTCATGAGCAATGGAAATGTGGTCTAGATGAAATTACTATGAGGTGGTTGCAAAACTGGTTAACAGACCATGCTTAGTAGTAATCAATAGTTTGTTCCCAAACTGGGGAAGGGGGTATCCTGTGGCTTCCCATAGGGGTTAGTTCTGGGTTTGGTACTATTCAATATTTTCATTAATGACTTGGATAATGGAATTGAGAGTATGCTTATAAAACTTGCAGATGGAACCAAGCTGGGAAAGGTTGAAGTATTTTGGAGGACTGGATTAGAATTCAAAATGACCTTGACAAATGAGAGAACTGGTCTGAATTCAACAGGATAAAATGCAATAAAGACATGTTGCAAGTATTTCACTTAGAAAGCAAAAATCAAATGCGCAACTACAAAATTCAGAATAATTGGCTAGTTGTTAGTACTGCTGAAAATAATCTGAGGATTCTAGTGGATCACAAATTGAATATGAGTCAATAATGTGATGCAGTTGTGAAAAAGACTACTATCATGCTGGGGTCTATAACAGGAGTGTTATATGTAAGACATGGGAGGTAATTGTCCTGTTCTACTCGGCACTGGTGATGCCTCACCGGGAGTACTGTGTCGAACTCAGGGTGTCCCACTTTAGGAAAGATGTGGACTAATTGGAGAGTATCCAAAGGAGAGCATTAAAAATGATAAAAGGTTTATAAAGGTTTAAAAAACTGGCTATGTTTAGTCTTCAGAAAAGAAGATGGGGGGAGGGGAGAGAACAACCTGATAGACTTCAAATCTATTAAGGGCTGTTATAAAGAGGACAGTGATCAGTTGTTCTCCATGTCCACTGGAGGTAGGACAAGAAGTAATGGGCTCCATCTGCAGCAACGGAGATTTAGGTTAGATATTAGGAAAACCTTTCTAACTATAGCTCTGGAATAGGCTTGCAAGGGAGATTGTAAAATCCCCATCATTGGAAGTTTTTAAGAACAGGTTTCACAAACACCTGTCAGGGATGGTCTAGGTTTACTTGGTCCTGCCTGAGCACAGGGCTCAACTTGATGATTTCTCAAGGTTCCTTAAAGACCCAAAGTTTTATGAAATTATGATACTCTGATCTTTATCCAAGCAGCCAATTGTACAGTTAAAGTTGGTGGATCTTTTGGACACAAGGTAAATTAAATTGGGCAACTAAATTAAACATATGGTAAAAATATTATTCTCTACATAAGGCCAAATTTGCAAATAATGGATATGAGCAAAAGTTTGTATGCATTTTCTGTTCGCCTGACTTAGGTACACAAATCCCTAGTGTGCTTGCACTTCAGGTTCTTTGTGCATGAACAACCATAACTAGTGAATACACATTGGTGGATTTGCATATCTAAACTGGGTGCCATTTGAATATTTTGGTCTAATTTATTTTCATTATATGACTATTAGTCAGTGGTTGAGTTTGTTTAAGTCAGTCTGAGTCCTTGGAACAGTTCAGTCTGCAAGTCTGAACAAGGATCACTGTGAGAATATAGTTAAATAGGTGCAACGTCAAAGTCAGAGGGAAAAAATCAGTACAGACGTTCACAACAAAAATATGTATGGAAGCTTTTAAGAAAAATCACTGCAATTTCTAGGACAGAGCAAGCATACTAAGTACAAATCTATAGCATTAGGCTTCCATAACTGAAGCCAGTGGGGTTAGTGGAGCTGTCTGGATATTACTGAAGCTAGAATTTGGCCCTAATTTCCCAGTTGCCTACCTAGAAGATTAATATCTGCAAGTATAAAATGTAGTATAAAACAGCATTTGGCAGGAGTTGTGTGGACTGCAGTAGAGCCTAAAATAGGGATTTAGGCACCTAAACCCAAAATTTAGGAACCTAAATACCTTTGTGGATTGAGGCTTTTCAGCATCTCTCAGAGACAATAAAAACTAGGTATCAAAACAGAAGGTTTATACAAGCAAAAACCCTAAGGACAATCCGGCTTAGGTTTATGTTTTGCTGCTACTGCTGTTAAAGTTTACAATAAAGAAAAACTCCAGGAAGGGGATGTTTGGACCAGAACCAGTTTCTATATATTGTGTTAGGAGCAAGAAGAGGAGAATGCTACCAGTTTACACTATGCTTAAGTGTATGTGTATGTATGGGGTATCCCCTGCTTTTATTATGGTTAATGAAACAAACTGATTCCCCATGCTCTCACATCTCCTTCTTGCCATCATAAACCTTCATGGTAATTGCAACTAAGGGGAATATTTTTGTGTGAGACCTTTGTTAAAATATTGGCAGACCATCACTGAAAAACCTTAGGTCTTATTGCTTAGGACTAGAAATCTAAGAACCCACTGATTTCAATCAGGATTAGATCAGTCCCTAAGGCAGGGGAGGTAATAGCTGGATGGTGTGTAATGTTCTAAAATATCCAGTCAGTTAAATAAGAGAAAATATTACTAAGTTATGTTAACTGGATGGTCTGGTTTTGTGACCTACTTTCCCCTTCGTAGTATAGGTTTTCAGAAACAACATACTGTTGGACAAGGGTAGTCTTGTTTTATAGCTCATTCTTTGGAATTCCAGCCATATATTATCATTCCTGTCAGAGTGTGTGGCTATATAATTAAGTCCTCGAAACATGCACTTCAATTAAAGTATAATACAAGAATAAAAATGTTTTAAACTTGTACATTGTGATCCCTCTCATTTGAGGATCTCAGTATTTTACTAACATTTAATAAGCCTTCTAAGAGCTTTGTGAGTTACAGAAGTGCCACTCTACTATTATAGGAGGCAGTGTTGCCTATTCGTGACTCTGCCATTGGTTTGTGGGGTGACCTTGGAAAAATTATTTCCCTCACTATGCCTCAATTTCTCCATCTGTAAAAGGGGGATAATGATACTCTCTTAGTAAAGCATTTGGGGCCTACTGATGAAAAGTGCTAGCTATATAAGATCTAGGCATTATTATCCCCTTTAGACAGACTGATAAACAGACACAGATCAAGTGACTTGCCTGAGGTCACACACAAAGTCAGTGGCAGAGCTGGAAATAAAAGCCATGACTTTGACTCCCAGAAACTCTTTTTTTTTTCACTTTGTGCCAGCTGTTCTTGTGTTTGGTCTAAACAGATATTAAGGAGTGGATGAAGACAAATAGTGCTGCATTCTGCATGAAAGTCAATGGCTGCTTATTTCATAAAGAGGTGATCTACAAAAGCTTTTCAGTTAAAGCAAAAAATGCCAACCACAACAACAAAAAGGAAATCCCAAATCAGTAACAGATCAGTAGACTCAGTTACAAGCTGTTAGGATACAATATTTTAAATCTTTCCCAGCTTTTTTTTCCTGCCAAGTCCTCATGTCAGGATGGTGTTTTTTCTCTTCTAACAATTAATGACATCACTAACACCTAAAACAGAGCAGGAAGATGTTGTTTTTCTTTCAGATGTTTCAGGGTGCAGTGGAGAGCAAATGGGTGTAGATAACAAACACACTTTGACAGTTGTAAATGTTGCCATATGTCAGAGGAAGAAGTTAAACTGGGCAGATTTAATTTACGAGTGATTTTAAGGCAGGTGTGTCAGTAAAACTTTTAACCAGATCTGTAAAGTTGAGCTGTTAAAACACTAATGAATTTATTAAAATCACTTTTCCTGGCTGTGGTATAACATGCCACTGGTGACACCGATTCACCCAGGGTTGTTGGCAGGGGCGATCAAACCTGGGACCTCTGGAGCTTAATGCACGAGCCTCTACTCCAGGAGCAAAAAGACACATCTCATTTAACCAAGCAGGCTCATCAATCATTAGCTGGCCTAGCCACCACTGGGGGGAGACAGAGTGCCACTCTGAGCAAACAGTTTGAAAGTACTGTGCAAAATCTTGTTTCTGTTTCTTTGGACACACCGTGGGTTCCTGGCTGCTGTACTTGCCAAAGCATGCTCTTCAAAGGAATTTTTACATTTTGATTATGGGCCAAATCCTTCCTGTTCTATTGGAGTGAGTTTCCCTTTTGAATTGAATGGGCTGGTTTGTGGGATCACACAAAGGCCCCCCTGGCAGAGCGGGGCTCATGAACAGCTTCCTCTGGCATGTACCCCTTTATTGGACTTTCCACCACTAGGTGCCTGCATCCTATGCCTTGCCAGCAGAGCTCTGGTGGTGATTCACACACATAAAAATGAACACCACACTAACTGAAATAGGTATAAAATGTTCCTACACACAGACATTAATGTGTGATTTCTTTTGGTAGGTCAAGGTGATTTTGATTTATCTGATGCTCTTGATCATCCTGGTAAGTAAAACTGCAAAAAAGAAAAAAGGGATTTGTTTCCTCTATTGTGTTCAATATTATTGCTACATCTTTAATACATTTTCCATTTTATGAAAACTGGACCACAACATAACTAATTTAATTTAAACGAAAGGCATAAAAGTCAATGGGAAATGCTGGCTATAGCACTTTTGATAATCAGACTATTTTTAAAAATTTGCTTATATTCAGGTTCTATTTTAAAAGAATCTTGGCCATAAGACCTTAGCACTTAATTTGTGGTCTCAGTGATGCTTAAGTTTTCTTTATCTAGAATATTTATCAAGATTTACAGATGCCTCCCTTTGATGTATTGAAAAGTGTTTCAGTTTGTATTGATTTTATGGTCTCACTGTGTCTCATAGAGGAAACAATTACCAAGAAGCCTCCACCGGCTACCAAAAGGCCAGTGTTTGGTGAGTAATAAATTTAAATTGGCTAATGGTTCATGACAATGATCTCACATTTGTAGTTTCTACCAGTTTCATCGTGATGTGTGCCATGTGCAGCATCTGAGATCAAGATTGTGCGATAACTGTCTAAGTATCAAGTACTGTATAGGTTAAAAAAAAGTATTAAAGGAACTCTCTTGGACATTTACCAAATAATAAGAGTTCCTTAATGGGTATAATATGGCTTTAGACAGTGACTGGACAACACTGAAATTGTATTGGCTGATAATTTTTGGTAATCTCTTACCTGCCCTGAAATCTCCAAGGAACATACAAATAGTCAACTGTAGCTTTTGTATTTGCCTTACTAAACATTTGTGCAGGGGAAAAGACAAGTCCACAACAAATGACTTTTAAAAAATGTTATTCGTGTTGAGACTAAAGTCTTATATGCGTGGGACTTTTTAAAATTTGATGGACCCCCTCTTCTGGCATTCATTGTTAGCGTGGCTTTTAATAGTTCCACAACAGGCTATGCCAATGAACAGAAAAGAGCTGTGAATGGTAAAGGAGGACTAGAAAGTTTTAAAGCCATAAACTCTGGAGGAGATTGGATGTGACAAACTAATTTTAAAAGGGTAAATCTTTTTTTCTCATTCTCTCCATTTAAAAATACCTTTTATTTGATTATGATATTCCACATACTACACTGAAAGAAAATTAAAGTTCTAAAATGAAGCATTCAGAATCAGGAAATGGATAAGGTTGCCATGAAATCTTAATTTAGCTCCCTTGTGACTATGAATTATGGTAAAGTCTTTCACTACACAATCACAGTTTTTTCCCCCTCAGGAATCCTGTCTCATTCAGTGCACAAGTTGGACATTGTTCTATGTATGTGGCAGCTGTTAAATATTTGTATTGTCACTATGCGGTGCATGGCTTCATGTTTTATACATTGCAGTGTCCCAGCCCCCACATTGCATGAGGCCAAAAGTCCTTTCTTACCTCTGTCTCTTACACCATACACTGAACAAATAATATAGTGCATGGAGCAGGACCGCTGCCTCATTTACTCATAAAAATCTAGATAGATGTACTCTCCCACTTTCCCTGCTTCATTACACTACATCTTTGGTGAAAGGGGTGGGGTTCTATGTCTCTGTGAATGGGGTGGGGTTCTTCTAGATTAAGGAGCCCCTCCTTTATGTATCTCTACATATTATTCAGAAGGAGTCACTGTCCTTTTAGAGCTCCGCCTCATTCCATACTCACCCTCAAAGACCATATTTCACACAGACCTGCACACTCTAAATGAAATTCCACTCAACATTTCTGTGCATGTGCAACTGCAATAGAAGTTGAGAGATTGTCTACTGAATGGAAAATTCCACTCAACTTGCGTGCACACATGTGCAGCACCAATGGAATGCTGGCAGATTGTTAGTATAACAAAAAACAATGCACAGGCATGAAGCATGTTTTAAAATCTTTACAACTTGTCCAAAGCAAAACTGATTTTCACCAGATCCCAGAAAGGCATATGAGCTACTTGGGGACTCTGTCCTCTGATTAAATGTGTCTCCCCCCACCCCCCCACGCACTATATTCCTACTCAAAGTAGCTGAACAGTTTTTGCTCAAACATTCTAAAAATGTGCTCCTGGGCTGAGAACAAAGGTGTCCAGCGTTTGACCAAAAGGTAAAGATTATTAAAATCTTGAAATCTTTATTGCTAATAGATGATCATCCAAAACCTCACCCACGTCCTCCTCACAAGCCGCAGCCGGGAAGCTATGGCAATGATGGTAAGAATATTTTTGTGCATTAAAAATAAATGAGGCTGCAACTGGTTAATTTTGGTTTGCATTTGTTGTTGGACATTGTGCTATGATAATGAAAATATTTATTTTTATTAGATGCTTATGGGATCAATATGTTTATTTCTGATTTTAAAATTTATTTTTTGACATATAAAATATAGCTTGTGTATCTATTATAGATATGCTGGTCTGGACACCACATTTCACTGAGTTTTTTATTTACAGCACAGATTCAACCTCCTTGTAGTTTTATAAAGAATTTGGTATAGCGCCCCAAATTTACAGCTCATAAATTCTGGGTAAAGACAAAATTTTATAAGAATCTTCACGTAAATTTGTGAATTACTTTGAGTTAAAATTAATTTAAAATTAACTATTTAAAACATGTGTCCCAGTATGTCTCACCTTTTTGTTCCTAACTAAAACACCACAGCTTTTAAAAAATGTTCTTTCCCCTTATTCTTCATCACTGTTACTTTCTCCATCGTCATGCTTAATGAGAAATATTTTGGAGATTGAATGGCTAGTCTGGAATCTAAACTTTTATTTTAAAAGATACAATGCTTTGAGCCTTCATGGTTGTGAAGAAAACTTTGGAACTGTAAACTGAAATGCAGCTCATCCATATATCCCCAGCACACAGAACTGTCTTGAAATTTTGCTAGCAAGGCATTGGAGAATGATGTGGGCAATAATCCTTCTTTCCATGTAATGCAGTGGAGGTAAAATTCTCAAAATACTGAGTCATCTTCTGTGAGTTGCTAAAGCACTTGCACATGACCTGCCCCAACATATTTCCACTCTTCTTAAACAATTGCTTTACATTTCCTATTTAAAACTACCATTTCACTCCTTCTCCAAAGTGCCTTCTGTTTACTCTCTTCTTTGTCTTCTTTTAGACAAAGACCTTTATTTAAGAGAGGCCCCTGGTGGTGGTATTCCCTAAAAGTTTTGTAGTATGTTAGACTGCTTTTTATCATGCTTTCACATTTCAGAAAATAATTCCCCCAGCATCAGATTTAAGATGGTTAGACTACTAGAAATTAGAGATTGAAAACAATAATAACCATGGGTGAAATTATCAGAAGTACCTAAGGTCCCATTTTCTAAAGTGATACAGGTGTTTAGACTCCTAAGCAGCTAATTGCTTTTGAACCAGGATTTAGGATTGTAAATCATAGGCACATTTTAAAATATTAGTCCATATCTTTACATGTTTATAAATATTTGCCCATTTAGTCATCTCTTAGCCAAACTCTTATTCTTTTCTCATAAATCAACCCCTTAATTCCTCTTGTTATATCTGTAGCTGTATTCAGTTTGTTTATGTCTTCCTAAGAGTGAGGAGCCTGGAGCTGTGTGCAGTTAATCCAGCTGTGATCTCATAGGTCCCAGTTCAACAAGGTACTTAAGCATATTTGTAACTTCAAGCATAAGAGTAGTCCCAAATAAATGGGGACTAGTCTCATGCTTATAATTACACACGTGCTTAAACATGTTGTTGAATCAGGGCTGTACGGAGGGATTATTACTTCCCGGTTCTGTTATACTATGCCTTTGCATTTGTAGGCCAAAAAATTGCCATGGCTTGTTTTACTGTCGTATAACACACATTTCAAAATCAGGCATGATATACTATCCTCTCTCATCCCTACATCTTTTAGCATTTCCAGGTTTCTTTCTTCCATTTGATACCTGTTTCCTCAGATGTTAGTCTATATTTTTCAAAATTGAATCTCGTTTTGTCCCGTCCCCCCCATACTTATTTTATTTAATCTTTTTAAGGCCTTCTTTATTATTATTTTTTGCTCATATTGGTGTTTGAAGCGCCTTCAAATTATTATTATTATTGGTTAATTTTATTAATGTGTTGCCTTAATATCTCTTTTAGATAAATAAAATACCCAATTCAATCCACTATAGTTTATTATTTTTCTTTACTTTTGGTTCCTTCAGCCAATTTTCCATCCACATTTTGGTCTCTGGTTCCTGCATGATACCCATAATATCCCACAATCCTTCCCTGATGTCAGTATCTGATATGTTCATAATGGTGGAGCTGGCTAAAAAACGCAAAATATTTTTCTCAAAAATTGTGGTGGGTTTTTTTTCTTATTTTCACTGAAAGATTGAAATTTTTTGACTAACATTTTGTAGTCAGCAGGAATTCTCTGGTGCCAAGAAAATCAGGCTCAGGATGTTTGGCCCTTCTTGCGACTGTTTTAATTAATGAGGAGGACCTTTTCTGAATCCCAAAGTTTTACACTTCTTGTTTACTTTTGTATGCACTTTTGAAACTTTGGCCTTCCTTCCTTCTAATAATATTTATTATCAATAGACGACCACCCAAAACCTCAGCCATATCTACCTGCTCACCCGCAACCAGGAAGGTATAGCAATTCTGTTAAGAATATTTTCTCCTAAGAATGTTAGAACCAAAAATTATTTAGGTCAGATTTTTATTTATATTGATTCAGATTTTTATTCATTTATTTATGGATGGTATACTTGTGGAGATTATGGAAGGGGGAGACATGAATCAGGGCCCTTATTGTACCCTGGGTGATCACTACTTCCCACCACCCAACACAGATGTAATGAGGTTGAGTAGTGTCCGCAAAAGAGAAACTAAAACAACTAATTATTCCTCAAAGAAGGTTTTTAATGATTTACGACTATAAAAGCAACATAGACAGAATAAGAAGAGAATAATTAAAGACCAGCACTGAATTAGGATTAATATAAAAGGTTATACTGAAGACAGGCACAGTGACATGCAAAGCTACTATCACTTATCAACTACTAGCTCTACCTGTGCTGTGCCCGTTCCCAGCAAGGCACCAGAACCTATACAGTTATTATATATTGAGTAACTATTTACTACTACTATTCCTAAGCAATTTACTACTACTATTACCCAACTTACTTTTACTTCTAAACAATATACTAGTATAATTAAACTATAGTATCGATACAGACTTAAGATTAACCAGGCCAAGCACAACCAGACTTCTTTGCTTCAAAACCTTACCCTGCATTTTCCCGAGAATACGTTACCCTTCAGTCGACCGCTTTCCGCACTGGCCAGGCACAGATAATTGGTGAAGCACATGTCCCTTCGGTTCAAGGTGTGTGTGTGAGCCTGATCAAAGAGAGATCTCTTTTAGGTCAATACACACAGAGACAGACACCTGCGCCTTTGCACCTCTTTATACATTGTTTTTTGGCTGTGTTCCAAAGCAGGTCAACCAATTAAGGTGGCCAAATGTCTTAGTGTGGTATTTTGCGGTTGTTTTGATCTTATGAACTGTGCACCTGTGCCCAGCTCATCTTTTCTTTATGTGGCTAGTTGTGGTCAATTCGCTAGACTCAAATTTTGAGTCAGCCTAAAGAAGTATCCGGTTGCAGTGCATAGTAACTACAAGTCCGTATCTAATTTCACAGAGCTTCCTTTTTTGCTTAATCTTAGTCTATAAAGCTTCCTAGCTAGATTTTGCTTATGCTTGCAGGATTTTATTGCGCTCGCTCTTTGCAGCTTCCTGGAAGTTTGATACATTAATCACAATACTCTGATGGGGCACTTATTTATTAACCACTGTAGGGAACTTTTGGTTTGCTATGTGCTTGTTTGCTTGTTTGTTTGTTCAACGTTCCAGGTCCACTTTTTGAAAAAGGTTACTGGGTCTCAGTGTCTGTCCAACAAAGTAGAACTAGCCTGAACAATTTACAAGATATTGGACCTAAAATCATGTTGATAATCATCTTGTTTTCCCTTCCACTCCTGTTGACAAATTTAGCTGTACCTATCCTGGGAATGGATAGGAACCAAAAATTTTCTATTGACATGACTGGAATTCTAGCCTTCAAATAGATTCTAATGGTTGACCTTGAGGTGAAAGACACAAAGTGGGCTCTATGCCCAAAAGGTCTGCCTCCACTTAAGGATCCTGGGGGAATGATCCTCTCCTAGGACACCAAGAATAAACAGGTCATGGTAGTGGAAGGGAGGGGGAAAAGCTGAAATTTCAGATAAGTTTGAATAATGAATAACAATCTAATTTTACAGACCGCTTCAGTGACTTAGATCTCAATGATGGGAAACCTCTACCCCCAAGGCCTGCAGGTACAGTATGCCAATTCTGTTGAATATTTCACAACCTCTCTCATATAGTCATATCCCACAGCTGCCTGTTTTTGCTTTAGACTTGTATGTAGCTGGTATAGGGCCAGATTCTCCTACTCTTACACATATTGAGCAATCTCTTGCTCCACAAATAGTGCTAAAAGATGTCGAGTGGTCAATCCTGAAGAGATAAATCACTTTAAGAACATGCTTAAGCAGGATGGATTTGAATTAAATCACTAGTCAGGAAGACTCGATTTAATCATGGTTTTCTACATAAAAGTGCATTCTTGTTGGTTGTTATAATCCTAATACATATTCTTCACAACTCAGAGATAGATGTAGGTTACATTTTTAGAAGGTAAACACTATACATTTTTAAACAGATGATTTATTTTGAAAACTTTTCAGATTAGTTTTACAGCTATATCAGAAAATGAATGATTGGTTATTTAATTTACCGAAGGTAACTGAAGCAAATATTTATGAAGTCATTGGGAGGTGAAGTATCTCCAATTCCACAGGTTAATCATTAATATTTGGAGGATTTTCTTGCCATGTTGTATTAAGAGGAGAACATCACAAGATAGACATTTAAATTGTTTTATTTAACTAAAACAACAATGTTAAGTATTCTGGATTTTTTTCTTCAACCGCAAACATATAATATTTTAACAAAACAAGTGTATGTCCCTCGCTTCTCACATTTATCTCCAGACTTCTTCTCCTTGTCCAGCTCTATTCCACCCCCAACAATCTTCTATTCATTGAACTTTTTGAGACTTTGCACTTTTAGAGAGAGGTAAGGGATTGACTCTGTGTACACAAATTTGCAGAGGGACAATAGAGTTGAGGTCTATTATTTCTCACTGCTATATATTATTTATTTATTTTAAAACATTTTTGCTGTTAACAAGCATGTTACCTCTGGAGACACAAATCCACAGTTTGAGAACTGCAAAACTAAGCATCTCTGATGGTATCTTCTAGACTGAGCACTGACTTCCATTGGGTAGATAGAAAGATTAACCTAAATAATCTATACAGAAGCCTGTGGAACCCCATAAAATTGGGTCCCTTATCCATGAACTACTGGAACTCATTTACAAAACTTTTCTTAAACATTACATGAATATATTGTCTCATACTATAGAATTAGAATTTATAATCCCTATTCCATGATGAGATACCTTTGAGCTATAATGTATCTTAATTAAAACTATCTTTAGATAGGTTTTTTTCCTCAAAAAACATTTTATCAAAAATCCCATTTAAATAAAAAAAATCCGATTTTTAAATTTTTTTTAAAATCATTGATTTTTATCCACCTTGTGCTTAAGTGCTTTGCTGGGTTGGAAAGGGTCTTCTGCACCTTGCAGGATTGGGCCCATAGTCCGGTTGAATTCAGTGGGACTACTTACAGATTAAGGGGCTGTTCAGAGGGTGTCAAGGTGGAAGCATTGGACCTATAGTGAGTTAGCCAATGGCTCCCCGGGTGGTTGTCTGTCAGTGGAGACTAGCCAAAGTGTCGCAGTGCTCTGGCTACTCCGCTGTCTCATACCCCATGCTGGCAGCTGTCTTTTATTTGAAATTTACAACATTTTTTATGAAGGTGGATAAGCAGTTTCAGCCCCATTTTATTGGGTGGGGGTGATCAGTATTATCATTCTGAGGAAATTAAGACAGAGGAGTGACACAATGTGCCTCCAAAAAGTTAAGGTTTAAATCAGGATTAGAACCCGCATTTCCTTACTCCCACTCCCCAGTTCTAACCAAATATCATTTTGCAGGCTGCCTCTGGATGGGATTTGTTGTTGTTTTGCTGTATGTTAGCTGTGACTTTTCTCCAAAAGGTTTCTTCCAACAATGAAGTTATTTCCTCTTTTCCAGGAGAAAAGGAGAGTAATGTCAATCATGGTGGAAACACTGGTCAGTAAACACTTATATACACATTATCTTATAGTATATTTAGGACAGTCTTAGCTGAACCAAAAGAGTTTTAAAACCCATATAAAACATATGCGTAGATAAGTCACTATTTTCTTGTCTGTAGTAATATTGTGGTTTCTGGTCCTTATATATATTTTTAAAAATGTTTTATTTCATGCTGCAAATGAAATTTAAAAGTTGTATGAACCCTTTCTCGTGTCAAACTGTGTTTGCAATGATTTGCTATTATGGGTCAGTGTCCACTTTATGTACTCTATAATAAGGATGCTTTTTTGTTGCTTCTGAAGAAAATACGTTTTTTCGTCCAATAGATTCTGGAGTAATTGCTGGAGTTACGTCACCTGTGATTTCTGTGCTTGTGCTGTTAGTTGTTGGATCAGTAGCTGGTTACACAGCTTACAAGAAGAAGCAACTCTGTTTTAAAGCTAATGGTAAGAATTACACTAGCTTTTTTGTTCTCTTTTTGGAACTGTGGCAGATCCTGATTGAAACAGCACTTTCTTATTTCTTGTAATATAAATTAAAACCATCTTGTACATTCTTTTTGTACGTTATATACTTTGGTGCTGTTGTTTTTGTACCACAGAAAACATTAGCTGAAAATGTGTGTAGTGTATGTAGGTGGATGGGCATGGAGGGAATAAGTGACCTATATATATCTGTTTCAGTCTCTGAGTTTGGATAATAAAATATAGTGCACCTGGTTTAAAGAATTCAATTTACTCCACTCAAATAGTTGCAAGACCTATAATGTTTTGAGTAGTAATTGCAGCTTCATTGTTCATCTTTAGTTTTTGTATTGCAATTGCACAACCAATATGCTATGTGCTTCCCAGAGTGGAAGACACTATCTCTGCCCTGAAGAATGCAGGGTCCTGAATATGAATTTATATTTAAAATATTTTTATTCCCAGACACAAACTTAATGAAATTGAAATTAAAGTTGAAAATTCATGGATGTGATGGTCAGTCAGTCAGATGCTGCCCGATAAGAACTGCAAATGTAATAATGAATTAAATATTTAGGTGGGATTTTCAAAGGTGCTTACAGCTGGCCTAACTTGGCTTCCATTGAAGTCAATGGGAGTTTTACTATTGACTTCCGTGAGAGCAGATTTTGTTTTTGAAAATCCCAATCTTAGCATTGTTTTCTAGGTTTGCAAGGGATATTTGTTAACAGTTAGCATGCCTACTCTTTCCACAAATTTGAAATAAACCATTGAAATGATAAAATTCCTAGGTCCTCAGTGTCAGAAAGTGTGATGGTGGGTGGGAGTGGAAGTTGCAGTGGTACAAGGCAGCTGCAACTTTCCCTGCAGCTATATAGGAGGGCATGGCAGACCCAAAAGAGGGGTAGGATTATAGCATCAGTGCATCCCCTGAGCAGCCTCTGCCATCGGAGATCCTATAGAGCCCACAGCAGGAGCAGTGAGAGAGGACAAAGGTTATCTGTTCTTCCGTAGGGGCAGGGAGGAGCTGTAGTAAAGGATAGAGATGTATAGATCTGAATAAGCATCCATACCAGAATATTAAAATTTTCTTTACAATTTTCCATTTTAGGTGGGACAACTGTGTAAGCTGGCAAGAGAGGAATTGCCCAGTGATAATGAATATTTTCTGCACAACACCGGACTACTTATTGTTAAGATGTACTTAAGTAATATATGAATGGGTAACATAGTACAATCTGATGCATATTATACATATGAATGTATATTTTGATTCAGATGCTAACTCTGTGATAATTCCTCAATTATGTGCTATAATATTTTTCTAAGGTTAAAGGTTTGTGTCTGAGCATTGGGTTCACAGACTATTCAGTGTTTTTTCTATGCCTATTTTTTTTAATACTTTAGGTGATGAGAAAAAAGGAACTTCCGCCTATGTGTTGTATTGATGTTCTCTTGTATATCTGTATTTTTTATAAAGTTTGAGGCAAATACTTGAAGTTTTGGAAAAAGTTTAAAGATTTTACTTTCCTTTATTTTATACTTTACATCTGAATTCTGCTGAATAGAAAAATCTATAGTTGAAAAAAGCATTTTCATCCTTCATTTTTCAAAAAAAGATGAAAAGTTCTGTGTACTACAAAACCACTGATAGAAAGGAAGCCCCAAACCATATATGAGGGGCACACATTGATTTTTAAGGAAATGTGTTTAGCTCCACTTAAGTTCTGCAAATCTTGCTTGAACCCTGCTTCTTTTCTATGAAATTTCTTAATATAGAAAGGGCTAGTTCCAGAATCCATTAGAGTCAATGGGTGCCCTCGCATTGTCTTTAATGGGCTGAATCAGCCCCATAGGTACTGGTTTTCAGGAAATTTGAAGACCCTGTAATAGAAACTAAATTGCGGTAGTTCTTTAAATCAGTCATCATAATCACCACATTACTGGCCTTTTTTACAAAAACAGTCAGAATTTTCTTGTGGAGGAAGGAATCAATTTGATTACAGATGTAGTATGCAAGGAGAATGCTTGTGGGTGGGAAACATGATGCTTTGAATTCTAAGCCCCATCTTGAGTCACATATAACCAATCTGTTAAATTTTATCTTTTTGATATGTTTGTTGTTCTTATGATTTTAATCATGTAGTCTCTATTCATCTTTAAACTCAGCATTTTCACCTTTATTTTACAAATGAACTACCATATATACTCATTCATTAGCCTGTTCGTTTATAAGCCGATCCCCCAAGGTGGTTAGGTAAAAATAGCAAAAACTGTATGACCCTTTCATAAGCTGACCCTATATTTC